TCACATGTCTGCAGACTGATTTGTATCTGTGAGTTTCAAAGGTATTTGAGAAACCCTGTTACCCAATAATACAATGACATTCCTTTCCAAAGTCTATCTTCATGTGAATCTCACAGGTCATATATCTAATTAGAAATATTAATTAGATATCTTCTACACCCCTACCTCATTCTATCTTGGAATTAAACATACTAAAGTATAACTCTTTTTTAACAGCCTGATAGTTGTATCACCTTGCTGTGAGGATTTTGTAGAATAACAGCCTACTTACAATCAGCTCAATTGCTCTTGACATTGTCAACAGGTGTAAACATCTTGTTCTTTCTCATCAAATTTCTTGAATGTGGCAGTCTTGTTCTGCTAGCAACAAAGTTGTGTCTGAACAGAGTTCAGAGCAGTTCATACAAAAACATTTTTCTTCCATTTTGCTCCAAGTTAAAGCGATATCCCCAAAATATAACTACCTTACAAACCTTTTATTTGTAGTTGTTTAGAACTTTTGGATTTTCCAACTCAGAGACATGAATACTCAGATTGCTCAAAAGGAATCAATGGCTATGGGTTTGGTTGGGAAAGTGGATTTGAGGTCAAAGACCACCCATGATCTTTTTGACTGGTAGGGTGGCCTCAAGGAACTGAGTGGCCTACTGTTTCATAAAGTATGTTTGTATTTTCACAAGACTTTATTTAAGTCTTGCACTATCTTGTATTTCTGTTTTGTCTTTTTGAAATATAGAGTAAAAATGTTATCCATAAACTGAAGTTTCACAAGTGACATCAGCGTCATTTGCAGCCTGGATTTCAATCAGTTGAAGCTGAAAAGTTTTCTGTCCATCCTGTAGACAATATCCAGATGACTGGGAATCTAGTTCTGACAAGCTGAAGAATGGTGACGATGACAATAGAAAAAAGGGAGAAAATGGCACATCCCTGCTTGACCCCTGTCTTGACCTCTAAGGATTTTGCCATGTTACCATTGGTAGGAACTGTCATCGACATCTTGTAATGGAGGAGCTGGAGAATGTTGATGAATTTCTTTGGACGGCCAGCCTTTTAGCCAAAAGCCTTGGTCAGGTCAATGAAGACCATGCAGAGTAGTTGAAGATGTTGAGCAGTGAAAATCATGTCCATAGTTCCATGAGCAAAAACAAAGTTGCTGGAAAAGCTCAGCAGGTCTGGCAGCATCTGTGAAGGAAAAAACAGAGTTAACGTTTCGGGTGCAGTAACCCTTCCTCAGAACTGATGGTGACTGGGAAAATGTCAGTTTATGTGCAGGAAAAAAGGGAGGGGGATGGAGTAGGGAGTAAATGATAGGATTGAACCTAAAGAGAGGGAAGTAGCAAATACCTGGTCAAACACCAGGAGTGTCAGTGAAATTAATGTTGGTGGGCAAGAAGAAAGATTGGAACAGAAATCCCGTCGAGAAAGAAGCAGAATTTCTTCAAGGTGGGCATATCTAAAAGAGATGTGGCAGTGAGTTAAATACTAAATAAAAACTGATGCTGTAAGTGGATACTGTAAATCAGGAACAAAAACAAAGTTGCTGGAAAAGCTCAGCAGGTCTGGCAGCATCTGTGAAGGAAAAAAACTTTGTGTCCTTTCTTGAAGATGGTGCTGATAGCAGCATTTCTGAGATTGGCTGGGATTTCTTCTTTATCTCAGAATTTCAGGCACAGTTGATGAAAATTATGGATGAGCTCTATTATTCTAACTTTGAAAATCTCCAGTTTGACACCAAAGATATTGAGCCCATATATTGCCAGGGTGGCACTGAAGAAACCCCAAGTGTCTTGCTTATCAGCAAGGACCTGCAGCTCCTTCACTTTCTCAGTCATCCATTGGTTCTTGATTTCCCTTATTCCTCCTTGTAACACCACCTTTGCTGTTTGATGAGTGCTCCTCTTTGCCACACTGTTGATATTGTTTTGCTACCTTCCTCTTCTTGTTGATGAGGTTCTGGATGATGTGGTCATTCTCTTGAACTATTCTTGTTGTTAACTGATCTCATAGCATGAGAGGGTGGCTGTGTTCAGCAATTCCAAAATTTTCTACACTGAAGAAAGCTGCTAAAGTGCTCTCCTGTTCCTATTCCAATAGTGAAACAGTTGATTCAAACCCTACCACCTATAAATCGGTCCAAAGCGAGGGATTTCCAGATGTCTCGATCTTGTCCCCGTCAGCTCTTGCCAATCTCCTCAGGCCTTGTGTTGTGTCTGGGGTGTTTGAATTTCTCTAGGTAGATGCCTTGTGTGGGACATCTTTTACCGTGGGAATGCTGTTGCATGTCAGCAGAATTACGGCCCTTGACAGAAGGTAGATCCAGTTCCAGTGGCAAGGAAACCTCGACATTGGTGCATCTCCCTACTGCTGCAGCCTTCATCCATATTCACAGTGGTTGATATCACATGGATATCTTCTGCCTGGATCGCCATTGAGGACTTGTTTTAGATTATGCTTTGTCTGGTTCCTTCCCTCTGATCTTACCATCAAGGGTGGCCCTGCCAGAAGTTGAGAACTCCTAACAGCATCACTTTCAAGATCAACAGAACACTCTAGCCTGTCCACCACAGCAAGGAAAGGTAGCTTATGATAATATGCCGCAATTAAGTGTAAATATGTGCAAACAGTGAAAGTACTTCATTTCCCATTCATTTGATAAAATCAATGGGAAAGATGTTCAAATAAAATCATAGATTTATAGAGATATGCAGCACAGAAATAGACCCTTTGATCCAACCAGTACATGCTGACCATAATCGCAAAGTAAACTAGTCTCACCTGCATGTGCTGGCTGATATCCCTCCAAACATTTCCTATTTACCTACTTCTCTAAATACCTTTTAAACGTTGCAACTGTGCCCACATCCACCACTTCCTCCAGAAGTTCATTCCATACATGAACCAATCTCTGTGTAAAAAAGTTGCTTCTCATGTCCTTTTTAAATCTTTCTCCTCTCACATTAAAAATATACTACATAATCTTCAAATCCCCCATCTTAGGCAAAAGACACTTGCCATTCGCCTTATCTATACTCCTCATTATTTTATAAACCTCAATAAGGTCACCTCTCAACTCCCAGTGTATCCAGCCTCTCCTTGTAAATCAAACCCTCTATTCCCGGCAACATCCTGATAAATCTGTTCTGAGCCCTCTCAGCTTAATAATATCCTTCCTATAACTGGGCGACCAGAATGGGACTCAATACTCCAGAAGCAGCCTCACTAATGTCCTGTACAACTTCAATGTAATTAATTTTGTAAAGTTTATAAATTTTCTTGTAAATTCAATCTTTTATTTTTAATGAAAGAAATGCACATTTAAAATGTTTCACTAAATAATTTATAAACTTTGGAAATAATTATATTTACATATAAGCAGTAATTATTGACAGTTATTAATCACATTATTACAGTAGATTGCCAATATTACACATTGGCTACATTTCTTTGACATGCTAAAGGTTGGCACTGATTTGCTCTGTAAACACAAAAACATAAGTATGGAGGCAGATGGAAATTTACAGATTGATTACAGTTTTGTTTCAAAGGGGTGCACCAGCTGAATAGACTGGACTGGTGCAGTTTAGTGATGCTTCAACCTCTTCATCATTTAATGCAACAAATTTCAAGTTCAAGGAGGCCGTGTGTATGTAGCATGTTGTGCTGTTCCCCATCCCACCAAATATTAAATCCTTTATTATGCCTTCTGGCCCCCACTGGGCAAGTTAGAAATTTCTTGTTATTTTGGGGTGCTGGTGGGCTTTTGGGCACAGTTGGAGACTCTACAGCAGTTCAAAATTGGCTGTGCAATTTACTTAATGTTTCAGAAGTAAGTCCTCATACAAGAACTAAATTAATTTAAATGTGTATAACTCTTTTAAGGCATTTCAAGGTTGGGCTGTAGGAAATGCAACTGGAATCTGAGCCAGTCAGATATTAGCAGAATTGATTGAAAAAAAAATTGAGAGGTTTTGTAAAGTGTTTGAAGGTTGTGCTTTGTAAAGTTGTGTAAGAACTGAGTAAGATGGAAAGATCTCGGAAGAGCATTCCTGAGAGCGGAACCAAAACAGCTAAAACATCTGCTGAAAATGTGGGGCATAGGGAAAGAACTTAAGTCTTCAGGCATCAAGGGCAACCACTCCAATGCAATAAAGGAATCTAAGTCTAGCTTGAGGCACTCTACTGCAAAATTATTTTGTCTGAATATATCTGTCACCAGCTTCGGTTGCACTTAGGAAGACCATGTACTATGTAAGCTGTCCTTAAAGTGGCTTCGTGTCCATAGCTCTTTGACTGGGCCTATCCTTATTAGGGGATTGGAAAATTGTGAGTATTATAGGCCTTAGAAGACTGCAGTATTTTCTGGCTCTGAATAACATGCTTTAAGGTGTAACAACTTGCAAAGATCCCTTCATCAATCCATTGCCGTCAAAGTATACCAAAATGGAAATTGCTGGAAAAGTTCAGCAGGTCTGGAAGCATTTGTGGAGAGAAAGCCGAGTTAACCTTTCAGATCCAGTGACCCTTCCTCAGAACTCCAAGGAAGTTCTCCAGGGAACTCTAGTCACTGGGCCCAAAATGTTAACCCTGATATCTCTCCACAGATGCTGCTACACCTGCTGAGTTTTTCCAGCAATTTCTGTTTTGTTTCTGATTTCCAGCACGCACAGTTCTTTTTACTTAGCAGTCAAAGTACACCCCGAATTTTGGATGCAACAATTCAGATCTAAATGAAGGTGTGCCAGAGAAGGAAAGGAGAAAAGGACAATAAGTGGTATGGGCTGTTTGGATGAAAAAAAAAGAGATAGAAAGCAACAGAGGGTTAGAAGCCAGAAGAAAGAGAAGTGCTGGCAAAAAGTCATGCTCTGTTGCTCATACTTTGTAAGAGAGTGTAGATTTGTTATTTTCCTAGATCTATATGTGTGGTATGCAATTCTCTTAGTAGCTAAAGTTGAAATCTAATCTTTTCTTCTTATTCCTTTCCACCTCGCTCACACCAGGGTACAACCTAATGGATGTTGATAGACTTGTGACACTTCTCTGCCTGAACTTTACTCATGGTTAATGATGATGAAAGGCCACAACTGTTGAATCCCATCTGTGCTGAAGAAAGGAGGGTATTTGTGGTTTCTGTGTGTGCTCATATTGAAGAGCACAGATACTATCTCAAATCACAGGAACAGAAACAAGGTCAAGGTTATTATTATCATCAAGGAATTGAGAGACCTTTACCCTATGCATGATGATTCTATGATTCTGTTCTGCTACTGGATGCTTGGGCTTCCCACAGCCATTCCAAAATGGAAGACCCACGGGCCTTACTGATGAAAAGAAATTAATTTTAAAGATCTGAAAGGAACAATAAAGCACTTTGAGGTATCAATTACCTTTATTGTAAGCAAGTTTTAAGTCTTTCAAATGATCTCAGTGGAAGGTTGAGGTTGTACAGAAGAGTTAAACGAAGAGTAGCTCAGGAGCTTCATTGATACAGAGGGCCCAATGAACCACCTGGTATCACCGGCTGCAATATAGAATCGAAATTCAACAAGCTGGAAACTGAACGGGAGCAGATTCTAGCAGGTTTCAGCCTCTTTGCAGGAAATGCATCGCCTTCTGTCCTTCCCAGCCCTCTCAAGCTCTTAATAATGGTGACGTTTGATTCAATACTGAACATCACAGATAAACCCAAGCCTAGTCTGACCTGATGTTCATACGTATGCGCCTTTGCTACTTGTAGATTTTATGTAATAATTCAATTTAAGAATTTCTTCAAAATTGAAAGTATCAAAGTCTTCATCTAAAGAGATGAAAATGGTTATAGATGTTGACAATTGTTTATGTCTGACCCAACTTTTGACATTAATTCAAAGAACTTTCTGTGTAAATGACAAAGGAACAATAATAATTTACTTAAAGTCATGAATAGACATCCTGAAATATTACTGAAAGCTTTAAATATATATTTCAGGCAAATCCTAACGAGTTATTTTAAACCTTTGTGAATCAAAGTTGATCATTCTGGCATGGTAAGAGCGCTCTCTGGTGGAAAGTACCTGACCTCTTAGTTTTTGGCTGGAACCTCACTTGAGGGAAAGGTTCAGACGTTTATGAATATCTCCTTATCCTCTTTTAAGATAGCCTTTAAAACTCAACTCTTTGACTAATTAATTTAGACACTCCAACCTATGTGCCATTTTATGCTTGAGATGGCAATACAGGAGACTTTTGAAAACAAGAAATTCGTAGTGTCAGGGGATTGGAGAATTCAGACAGTGGCCTAAGCACTGGGATTGTAATGAACGTTAACCCAATTCACTCAATCATTGAATCGAAGCAAAACCTGAAGTGCAAATTCATGACATTCACACTGTTGTAAGTTTCACTGACTACCAGGATAAGAAGGAAAAAATGATGAAGCTGGGGTTGCTATGATAGTCTAAGAATCATCTGTTTTATTCTTCTTTCTACTGCAGATTGTAACAACATCGTATAAACGCAAAGCACAAAAGACTTGGTTTGAAGTGAAAGCTGCTGGGGGCTGTGCCTATCCTGGGTTTTGCTGCAGCTCACATTCTACAATATTTCATAAATCGGTCATAACCTCTGGGTATATTTTGGTTAACACACAAACAGAAAATTAAAAACCCAGGTCTTTCACCCTTTTATGTGAGGGTTTTGGGCAGCAATAGTTCTTGGGCCTAGTCTTTTGATGGATTCTGGTATGTATTTTGCTTATCACCTTCCTCCAAATTACCAAACAAAGAAGAAATTTTTCCAGATACCACAATGTCCCAATTTCTAAGTGACAATAAATGTTAGGTTGGATGCAAAATAATTCTGCTTCAGCTCAATTAGCTGGACAGCTGATTTGCAATGCAGAGCAGTGCCAACAGCATAGGTTTAATTCCTGAACTAGCTGAGGTTACCATGAAGAACTCGCCTTCTCAGTCTCTCCCCTTGCCTAAGGCAAGGTGACCCTTGGGTTAAACCAATGCAAGTCATCTCTGTCTAATGATTGAACAGCTCAGTGGTCTGCTAAGAATATGGTGACGTTACCCTTGTTTAACCTAGACTTCAGGGGTTAATTTATGAGGAGAGATTATATAAATTAAGACTGTGCTCTCCAGAATTTGGAAGGTTAAGGGGTGATCTGATCAAAGTCTTCAAGATATTAACAGGAAAAGACAGGACTAGATAAAGATAGAGGAGGCGTTGGCCTAGTGGTATTATCACTGGACTGTTAATCTAGAGACCCAGATAACGATTTGGGGACCTGGGTTCAAATCCTGCCATGATAGATGGTGGAATTTGAAGTCAACAAATATCTGGAATTAAGAGTCTAATGATGACCATGAATCCATTGTCAACTGTCAGGAAAAACCCGTCTGGTTCACTAATGTCCTTTAGGGAAGGAAACTGCCATCCTTACCTGGTCTGGCCTACATGTGACTCCAGACCCACAGCAATGTGGTTGACTCTGAACTGCCCTCTGGGCAATTAGGGATGGGCAATAAATGCTGCCTATCCATCAATGCCTTCATCCTGTTAATGAATAAAAAAATAAACTATTTCCACAGGTTGGGGATTCTAGAACTACAGGGCACAGTCTGAAAATTAGGGCCAGATCATTCAGGAGAGATGTTAGGAAGCACTACTACACACAAAGGTTGGTAGATGCTTGGACCTCTCTTCCACGTTGGCAGTGAATGCTATATTAGTTGTTAATTTTAAATTTGAGACAGGTAACTTTTGTTTAGCAAAATGGAGGAAAATTGAGGAAAATGGGCCAAAGGTAGATCTATGGAGTTAGGCCACAGATCAGCCATGATCTCATTGAATGGCTGAAAGACTTGAGAGATTGAATAGCTTACTCCTGTTTCCTATGTTCCTATTTTTTGGCTTGTATGTCTTTCTTTTAAAAAAAATGTTAAACGTTTAATATATCCTGAAGTAATTTGGGTTTATGAACCATTTTCTTGACACAGTGTCCTTCTCAAAGCCAACTCTACAAGCATTCTGGCAACACTCCTGCAAAACAAATACAGTGGAGTAGCTGAAAGTATCTCCCCTGCCAGGTCTTGTTTTCTTAGCTCACACATGGTCAATGTTCCAAGAGAAGATGAAGGATACAAAGACACTCTGTGGCTCTCCTTAAAATACAGCAGCTTTGATATTTGGAGGAGCTTGCCGTAAGTTGTTCAAAGTCATGACATTTTGTCTGTCAAATGCATCATGCTTGAGTTTGAACATTTTAATGATGAGGAAGGGTGGTGGCAGAGAAAGAAAGGGAAGGAATCAAATTTGGCTCTCCAGATTCCAGTGCCTCAAGGGTTGTCCTACTCCATGTGCCCAAAAATCTACATGTTACAAATCGGACTGTTCAGTGACATGAAGACACATGGCAGAAACTTGTGACACCAAAGAGACATTGTAAAGACTGTATCATTTGATATTTTTGCATTGTGGACTAAAATGGAAGAAAAGACTACTTTAAAAATTAAGGACTGTGGAAGGAATTGTTGCATTGTAGATGATTTGCTTGTATAGTTATGATTATCTGTGGATAGCAAAGGTCATCAGCCTGGTGACAACACTCTACTTCATTCCTGGGTAGCTGAACAGCTTGTAGGTATGAATGATGTGGGGAGAAACCTTCAGACTGTCGGAAGGGCAGGTTGTGTGTGTCACTCTCTGTAGTAAAAATATCTAAAGCACAGAGAAAGTCAACTATTTTCTCCCACCAGTTGCTGTAAGCTGTTGCCTATAACTAGGATCTAAGACTTTGTGGTTAGTGTACCAATCACAATGTGCCTCCTGCAAAGGCATGGCCATCACCCTTCTTGAAATTCTAGATGCAGGTACCTTGTTTTAAGTAGATATGTTCTGCTGATTTACTATAGGTATCAGACCACAATAGATCACCATGTCCCATTTAAAGAAGTGGTTTCACATGCAATTTGTTGTGTGGTTGTCGGTTCAGAAATTCTCAGGCCAGTCATCAGTGTGTTTATTTAAACAATATTTATTTACACTACATCCAGGATAGCCAAACAGTAGCTATCTCTGTCCTCAGTGAATCTAGTTCCAATTATTTAACAGAGTCTGTTCCACAAGGTTCTGATGCCACTGACACTGCAAACCTCAGCGGCTTATCTGCATATTTCCTTAAATCCTATCTCTATATCTTCTACCAAGTACATTTTCGATTTTGAACATTCTTAACTGAAAATATTGAACTGAAAGTATTTCCATCTCCACGCTTTCTGCCAGAGTCTGGTGGACAGATTCAACCATTGTGTTGACATCACAGATCTCCCTGCATTGTTATTCAAGTTGGCACAGATGGGCGATTTGTCAACTATCTATGAGATGGATTTTTGGAGCAACTTGTGGTCATCTACTAGGGAATGGGCAATTCTGGATTTATTGATGTATAATGTGGCAGACTTGATTAGGGAGCTTAAGGTGAAGGAACCCCTAGGGTGCAGTGGCCATAATATGAAAGAAGTCATCCAGCAGTTTGAGAGGGAGAAATTGGAATCAGATGTAATGATATTACAATTGAGTAAAGTTAAATGCAAAGACATAGAGTCATACAGCATAGAAATGGACCCTTCAATCCAACCAGTCCAGGCTAAACATAATCCCAAACTAAAATAATGCCACCTGCCTACTCTTGTCCCACATACCTCCAAACCTTTCCCATTCATGTAATTATCCAAATGTCTTTTAAATATTGAAATTGTACTAACATCCACCAGTTCCTCAGGAAGTTCATTCCACATGTGAACCACACTCTATAAGAAATTTGGCCCTCATGTCCTTTTTTAAATCTCTCTTCTCTCACCTTAAAAATGTGCCCACTAATCTTGAAATTCCCCCATGTTCAAGAAAACACAACTACCATTAACTCTATCTGTACCCCTCGTTATTTTATAAACTTCTATAAGGTCTCTTCTCAAACCCTTACACTCCAGCGAAAAAAATCCAAGCCTTTGAGGGAGGAGCTGGCCACAGTTGATTGGAAGAGGAAGCTTATCAGGGAAGATGGTGGAACAACAATGGCAGGAGTTTCTGGCGGATAATTTGGGAAGCACAGAGGAAGTTTATCACAAGAATGAAGAAACATACCAAGGACACGATGTTGTAACCATGGCTGACAAGAATCAAGGACAGCATTGAAGCAATAGAGAAAGCATATAATGTGGTGAATATTGCTGGGATAACTTAAAAAAGCAATAAGGTGGGGAAGTAAGCTAGCTAGTAATATAAAAGAAGACTGCAAGAATTTTTAACATGTAAAGAAGATAAGAGAGATGCAAGGGTGGACATTGGACTGCTACTAAATGAGGCTAGAGAAGAAGTAATGGGGAGCAAAGAAATGGTGGAGGAACTGAACAGGTACTTTGCTTCAGTCTTCACAGTGGATGACACCAGTAGCATCCAGAACTTCAAAAGAGCCGGGGTAAGAGGTGAGTGCTGCGGCCATCACTAAGGGGAAGGTGCTGGGGAAGTTGAAAGGTCTGAAAATGGATAAATTACCTGGACCAGATGGACTACACTCCAGGTACTGAAGGAGATAGCTGAGGAGATTGTGGAGACATTGGAATCACTGGAGTCAG